AGGGCTCCCAGGAGGGGGGGGGGCGGGGTCAGGACCCACAGGTGCCTCATAATTGGTCAGCACCTCATAATTAAGTGAGGCACACCCATAATCTTATTGGCCCACCCCTCATTAGGGCCCAGCTTCCGTTCTCCGGGCCCAGGGGCCATTTGCATTATATTTAGTGGCGGCCATTAGAAGTGGCCATTATTTTATGGCGGTATTGAGTGGCAGCCATCACAGGTGGCCATTATTTGGCCACCTATTTGTAATAATAATAATGATTAACAATAATAATAATAATAATTATTATTATTATTATTCTCACACTGCAGTGCCTCACGTTCCTCCCCCATTGCATTGCAGGGCCGCGACCACCCCACCCTATGGGGTAACTTGGGTGTGCTGGGGGTGAGTGGGGCTGTGCTGGTGGGCGCCCGCCTCCTGATCATGGGGTCGCTGCCCCCCGAGTTCTCCCCAGCAGACAACCCCGCGGCAGACTGCGACGATGGCCTCGTGAGGACACTAACGTTCCTCTTCCTCCCCGCCTTCAACTTCTGGCTGCTGCTGTGCCCCACGAGGCTCAGCTTCGACTGGTCCATGGGCGCCGTGCCTCTTGTGGCCTCAGCCTCCGACCCCCGTAACCTGGGCACCCTGCTCTTCTATGGGTGTCTGGGGGCATTAGGCTTCAGGTATCTCTCTGGATGGGGGAGAAGTGTCCCCAGGAGAGGGGGAGGTCCTAATAATGGGGAAAGTTCAGAGGAAGACGTGGTGATCTTGGGGCTAGCCCTGCTGGTGCTCCCCTTCATCCCCGCGACTAACCTCTTCTTCTACGTGGGGTTCGTTGTAGCCGAGCGTCTTCTCTACATCCCCTCGATGGGGTTCTGCCTTCTAGTCAGCTGGGGAATAGAGATGATGCTCTCACGGACCAGGTCCCCTATGGGGAGGCGTCTCCTCAAGGCTGGGGTTGTGCTGCTGTTTGTGGTGCACGCGACTAAGACCTGGCGACGCAACTTCGACTGGCGGACCGAGGAACAACTGTACCGCTCCGGCATACCTATCAACCCGCCTAAAGGTGGGTCATAGTGTGGCTAAAGATGGGTCATGACAAGGGTCGCCTGAGAGTATGACAAGGGTCGCCTGAGAGTATGACAAGGGTCGCCTGAGAGTATGACAAGGGTCGCCTGAGAGTATGACAAGGGTCGCCTTGATCGAGAGTGTGACAAGGCCTCACCTGAGAGTATGACAAGGGTCGCCTGAGAGTGTGACAAGGCCTCACCTGAGAGTATGACAAGGGTCGCCTGAGAGTGTGACAAGGGTCGGCCGTGGCTGCACTTCTAACACAGAATTAACCGAATATATATGACATGAGCGTCCGGGGCGACACTTGTTGCAGAGTCTGAGCCGCATCTAAATTTTGTTAGGATACCCCTTACCCCCCTATACCTTACCACCTCTGCCCTTTTACCGCTTCTCACCCCCTTCAGCCCTCTTCAACCCTCTTCTACCCTCCACCCCCCAGCGTACGGTAACCTGGCCAACATCTTGAGCGCGCGGGGCCAAAAGGCGGAGGCGGAATGGGCCTACAAGCGGGCCCTGGCCCACCGCTCCAACATGGCGGACGTCCACTACAACCTGTGAGTCTTGTGTGCCTCAACCCTTGTGTGCCTCAACCCTGATGTGCCTCAACCCTGGTGTGCCTTAACCTTGGTGTGCCTCAACCCTGGTGTGCCTCAACCCTGGTGTGCCTCAACCCTGGTGTGCCTCAACCCTGGTGTGCCTCAACCCTGGTGTGCCTCAACCCTGGTGTGCCTCAACCCTGGTGTGCCTCAACCCTGGTGTGCCTCAACCCTGGTGTGCCTCAACCCTGGTGTGCCTCAACCCTGGTGTGCCTCAACCCTGGTGTGCCTCAACCCTGGTGTGCCTCAACCCTGGTGTGCCTCAACCCTGGTGTGCCTCAACCCTGGTGTGCCTCAACCCTGGTGTGCCTCAACCCTGGTGTGCCTCAACCCTGGTGTGCCTCAACCCTGGTGTGCCTCAACCCTGGTGTGCCTCAACCCTGGTGTGCCTCAACCCTGGTGTGCCTCAACCCTGGTGTGCCTCAACCCTGGTGTGCCTCAACCCTGGTGTGCCTCAACCCTGGTGTGCCTCAACCCTGGTGTGCCTCAACCCTGGTGTGCCTCAACCCTGGTGTGCCTCAACCCTGGTGTGCCTCAACCCTGGTGTGCCTCAACCCTGGTGTGCCTCAACCCTGGTGTGCCTCAACCCTGGTGTGCCTCAACCCTGGTGTGCCTCAACCCTGGTGTGCCTCAACCCTGGTGTGCCTCAACCCTGGTGTGCCTCAACCCTGGTGTGCCTCAACCCTGGTGTGCCTCAACCCTGGTGCGCCTCAAATATAAACTTTTAACCTTATCGCGCGAGGACAACTTGCCCAGCCTGTTCATGATCGCTCCATGGCTTGGTATGTACAATTATTTTTGTTTTTTTTTTCTCTTCATTTTTTTCTCATAAAAAATGTTAAAGTTTTTTTGCGCGTGACTGCACCCAGTTTACCAAACATAAAAATGTTCGCTTGAAAGGCAACGAATGTTCGTCCCAACGCTGAATTTCGAACCTGTGATCCAACGCTGAATTTACGAAGCTTTTCAGTGCATTCGCCCTAAAATTTGTTGAGCTGAGGCAAAAGACTGAGCAGTTCAACATTTAGCAACAATTGTTGATGAACTATCATCACACTTTCAAGTTGGGCCTTTGATTACGTGGCCTTTGCAGAGTGTTGCCTTTGCAGAGTGTTGCCTTTGCAGAGTGTTGCCTTAGCAGAGTGTTGCCTTTGCAGAGTGTTGCCTTTGCAGAGTGTTGCCTTTGCAGAGTGTGGCCTTTGCAGAGTGTTACCTTTGCAGAGTGTTGCCTTTGCAGAGTGTTGCTCTTCAGATACGAACAATTTTATTATTTTTTGAATAATTAATTTAATAAGTAAGCTAATTATTATTAGTGAAAGACTCGTAAATGATAAGTAGTTCTCACCCTCTACTTATTACTAGCCCCCACTCCCCCAGAGGGAACTTTCCCTCCCCCCTCACCCCGCCACTCATCCTGGGGATCATTCCCTCCCCTTTCCCCTCATTCCTCCCTCCCCCTACTCCCACAGGAGAATTTATCCCTCCCCCCACTCCCCGCTCCCCCTGTCTCGCAGGGGATCCTTTCATCCTCCTTACTTCCCTCCCCCCACTCCCCCAGAGGTATCCTTCCCTCTCCTGACCCCTCCTCCCCCCACTCCCCCAGAGGTATCCTTCCCTCCCCTGACCCCTCTTCCCCCCACTCCCCCAGAGGTATCCTGCTGCAAGAGCAGAAGAGGCACGAGGAGAGCGTCAAGGAGTACGCGCTCGCCATACAGTACCGCCCTAGGATGGCGAGTGAGTTGACGTAACATTATATAACATATAATAGCATAACATATAAGACAATATAACATATAATAGCATAGCATAAGATAACATAACATAAGATAGTATAACATAGTATAACATAACATAACAAAAGATAACATAGCACAACATAAGATAACATATAGTGATGTCGGCGCTGAAGAGTAGTGTCCGAAAGTAAGTCGCGGAAACAAGTCCTAATGTGTTTACCAACAGACCCATGTTAGCTATCGAGTCCACGGTGTCACTGAGACCTTGCCATACAGCATACAGTGGGGGGAAATAAATATTCGTACACTTGAAAAATCGTATTTTAATGTATGTAAGTACACAAACTTAACAGGAAAAGTGATTTAAATTATGTATAGAGACGCATAGTATTCAAAAATACCTGTCTCTTATACACATCTTCAATGCATTTCATTCAATGCATTTCATTCAATGCATTTCATTCAACGCATTTCATTCANCCCGAAAAGTGAACATGTTGCATTGTTTTTTGTTGCATTGAGATTTAATTTCTTTTGATAGTATTTTTGAATACTATGCGTCTCTATACATAATTTAAATCTCTTTTCCTGTTAAGTTTGTGTACTTACATACATAACATACGATTTTTCAAGTGTACGAATATATATTTCCCCCCACTGTATGTGTCACAAAGACACGTGATCGATCGAGTGATCAAGACCTTATAGTAGTGGGCGGAAGCGAAGCTTATATAAGGTCTATCAACCTTGAGTAAAGCCTCAGTAGCTGATTAGCCCTCCGCGCGATGTAGCGTGTAGCTTGAGTTCTCCGACCTCACGGTCGATGCCGTAGCTTATAACTCTGTATCGCAACTCAGTATTACCATCCCGTATACAAGATACGTTATCTGGACTTGTGTGTCTCACTTATCCCTCACTACCTTAGTCAACGAAACCCGATACTCAGGTAGAGCTTAATATAATGAGTTCAATGTCTTGAGAGCAACCTCGAACAGGCCTGATGTGGCCTGTCGCCGATTCTTTTCCTTTTCGTGCCTTGTTCACAGAATTAAGATCTAATATCGTGTCATTTGACCGGATCTTTTCATGAATGACGATAGTTTAAAATTGCTACTAGACTTCCACCGGGTTCGATATGGTGCTAGTCATTTAAAGTCTGAACATATATTTTTCCATGGCTTTATCTAGTCTGTTCTTGAACGCGTTCATACTTGGAGCGCCAACGATGTAATGAGTTACTGTGGCCTTCAATTAATAAACGAGTTACTTCAATTTAATAAGCCAACAAGGCCCATGCAGGCAACAACGTTTCAACGATCATAATTCAACCCAAACCTTTTCTTGTTTCGAGGGGAATTCAAAGTCAACGTGTATTCCTTATTTAATATTCCAAGTTCAAGTCCTAAACTTTCCTTATATGAAGAAAAAACAAATGAATAAAATGCTAAAGATGATTTGTTTGCTAATAATAATGAAATATATACAACACAAATCATATTAAAAATGTATTCTAATTAAATCTATTCACATTAATATTTACACATGATAGTCACACTTAAAATCTATAGCCTGCGTGTCAGTGGTGTGTGTCGGGTCTAGCCTGCGTGTCAGTGGTGTGTGTCGGGTCTAGCCTGCGTGTCAGTTGTGTGTCGGGTGTAGCCTGCGTGTCAGTGGTGTGTCGGGTCTAGCCTGCGTGTCAGTGGTATGTGTCGGGTCTAGCCTGCGTGTCAGTGGTGTGTGTCGGGTCTGTTTCAGTGGCACACCTGAACCTGGGTCTAGTCCTGGGTCTGCTGGGTCGGCAGCAGGAGGCTGAGGAGGTCTACCGTCAGTGTGCTGAGCTGGACGGGTCCGGTCTAAAAGACCCTCGGACCCACGAGGCCACCAAGATATCGGCCCTCTTCAACCTCGGCCGCCTATACGCCGACGATGGCCGCTACGAGCGGGCCATTGAGGTCTACTTGGAGGCCGTGAGGCGCATGCCGGCACACTACACGCCTCAGGTGGGCCATGAGTGAGGCACACTACACGCCTCAGGTGGGCCATAGGCACACTACACGCCTCAGGTGGGCCATCAGTGAGGCACACTACACGCCTCAGGTGGGCCATCAGTGAGGCACACTACACGCCTCAGGTGGACCATAAGTGAGGCGCATGAGCCTCTACAACATGCTGCCTCACTAACCCACCCACCCACTCCCCCACAGAGCCTCTACAACATGCTGCCTCACTAACCCACCCACCCACTCCCTCACAGAGCCTCTACAACATGCTGCCTCACTAACCCACCCACCCACTCCCTCACAGAGCCTCTACAACATGCTGGGTGAGGCCCACTTCAAGCTGGGGCGGGTGGGTGAGGCCGAGCGTTGGTACGAAGAGGCGCTGCGGGCCAAGCCTGACCACGTGCCAGCCCACCTCACCTACGCCAAGCTGCTCGCCACACAGGTGGGTTATGAGGTGTGAGGTGGGTTATGAGGTGTGAGGTGGGTTATGAGGTGTGAGGTGGGTTGTGAGGTGTGAGGTGGGTTGTGAGGTGTGAGGTGGGTTATGAAGCATGAGGTGGGTTGTGAGGTGTGAGGTGGGTCATGAAGCATGAGGTGGGTTATGAGGTGTGAGGTGGGTCATGAGGCATGAGGTGGGTTGTGAGGTGTGAGGTGGGTCATGAAGCATGAGGTGGATTATGAGGTGTGAGGTGGGTCATGAAGCATGAGGTGGGTTATGAGGTATGAGGTGGGTCATAGGTAATGGGGCAACACGGTTCATTTATAGGCATCGCTGGCGGGTGGCGCTTGGTAGCCGTAGAAGGTGGTGCTTGCAGCAATTGGGTGGGATTACTAGAGTGGGGTTACTTTCTTGTGGGCTTAAAAGGGTGGGTTTACTAGGGTGGGGTTGCGTTATTGTGGGGTTACTGGGGTGGGGTTATATTCTTGTGGGGTTAAGTCCTGAACCCCCTCGTGTGTGCCCCCAGGACCGACTGGACGAGGCCGAGGTTTGGTTCAAGAAAGCCCTGAGCCTCGCCCCCACCGACCCCGCCGTCCACCAGCACTACGGTGAGTGGTGTGATCTTGCAATTAACTTTATTATACACGAGGCATTGTTTTGCCTTTTAAAGTTTCGGTGACCACACAGCGTTTCCAAACTCTAGGTTGGGGCTTACGATAGCGATAAATAATAGCTTCATCGATTTTGGATGCTTAAATAACTGCTTCATCCTTTGAAAACTCGTATGGAGCGTCTGATCAGTCCAAAAGGTTTATTAGATTTATAAACTTAGGTTTCAACATGCTTAAGAAATGCCAACTCCTTTTCGACATGAGATCCTAAGTCTTTTTCCATTGTAGACTTCGCAATCATTACTCATCCTAACCTAACCTCAATATTACACTTAGTATCAATATTGATAAGAATGGTTCCACAGCCTAGAGCTGCCAACTAAATATAGTCAAACAATACGCGTACCTATATGAACCTCGTTCATGGAAGGCACTTGGCCAACTGAAATACTGAATGAAAGCGCTTATTTCCCTGACTCATATGCCGCTTTGCTGCTGCTACTGATGCGTGATGTAAAGCAAGAGAGTCACTATGACACACTTCTGAAGATGACTCACTTCTGGCATGGAAAATTTCCCTGTGTTGAGTCTCTGCGGGTAGGATCCATTTATGCGGCGGGATCAAGGCTTTTCACAGCCATGCGAGAGGATCTAATAGGATTTAAATTACTCTTTAGTCCTTCAAGAGCCGTAGACGGCTCCGGACGTGTTCCTGGGCACTGATCCTGATCGTCTCTGCAACTGTCAACGAGAAGCTAACTAAAGTATTGTGCACCCGCTGGCCCAACTGTGAGCATCGGATAGCCTCACTGTGGACATCGCATGGCCCCACTGTGGACATCGGATGGCCCCACTGTGGGCATCGCATGGCCCCACTGTGGGCATCGGCTGGCTAAATTAAACTGTTGTGGACATTGATCGACTGGCTTTACTGTATGGCATCGGCTGGATAAAATGTGGACATCGGCTGGCCAAATTGAAGGCATTAGCCTGCCCAACTGCTACGTCTGAAGCTGGGACTGCTACGTCCGAAACGCCTACTAGTGTCAGCTCTTATTTATTAAGCGCTACCTGAGGATCGGGTTACGTGACTAAGGTCGTGAAGGATAAGTAAGACACGTGTGTCTAGATAACAGATCTTGATATACGGGGTGGTTATACATGAGTTACGATACAGAGGTATAAGCTACCGCGTCGACCGTAAGGTCGGAGAACTCGACCGACACACTACATCGCTGAGCGCTCATCAGCTACTGCGGTGGCTCATACTAAGGTTTCTAGCTCTTATATAGCCTTCGCTTCCGCCCACTACTATGGTCTTGATCGCGTGATCTATCACGTGACGTGTTTCAGATGCTGACTCATGTCTATACTTTTCCATCAATCTCTATCAGGTCAAGTGAATATTACGTCCCAATTACATATGATCTAATCATATAAAACAACTATCATGATTATATTAAGTCGCCAGATTGACATCGAACACTAGCGACTCGTTTACTACTCGTGGCCTGCAATTTTCATTATGGGACGGTTTTCTTATTTGAACCCAGCCCATTGTTATTTTCATTTCTCGGTTACTCGCTGCTACGCAACAGTTCCACTCCCATCACCCGCAACATTTTCTTGTCAGTCACCCGCTACATTTCTCCCCTCCCCCTCACCTGCACCATTTCCTACCCGCCACCCACACCATTTCCACCCCGCCACCCGCACCATTCCCCCGCCACCCGCACCATTTGGCCGCCAGTTTGGCTGCCGCAGCGATGGCCCGGCGACCGCAGCATCGCTAGATAAGTCACAAAATAATGGCGCCAGCCGTCCGCCCTAATTATTATAATGGCTCGATATCGTCCCTAAAAATAATGGCTCGATATCGGCGGCAGAAATGGAGTCGCAGAAAAGCAAGTGTCGGCAACCTGACGGACGGCTCAAAGTTATAGCAGGGCCGTGGTGGCAGCGGCCGCCTATAATGCGGCCGAAAATTATGTTAGGGCCATAGTGGCGGTGGCCAAAAGTTACGGACAAGGACGGCCGCCTTTATCGCGTCCGAAAGTTACGATGGGCCACGGTGTGGCCGGCCATTCATAGCGCGGCCAGTACCTGCAGTGTCGTCCACCAGAGACCTGTACCTGCAGTGTCGTCCACCAGAGACCTGTACCTGCAGTGTCGTCCACCAGAGATCGTCCACCAGAGACCAGTACCTGCAGTGTCGTCCACCAGAGACCAGTACCTGCAGTGTCGTCCACCAGTGGGCGCCACGCGGCGACTTCTGTCGATTTTTTAACGCTTGTCGCGTCAGATTTTTTGTTGTTTTGCTGATGGACTCAGCGGCGGCAATTACGTGGCGGCCATCTTGTCGTCCCCACATGGCGACACGCCGTCCCCACATGACACGTCGTCCCCACATGGCGACACGTCGTCCCCACATGGCGACACGCCGTCCCCACATGGCGACACGTCGTCCCCACATGGCGACACG